TTGAAATACAAAGGATCATAAGAGACTACTACATGCAAATAAAATGGACAATCTGGAATAAATGAACAGATCCTTTAAAAGGTACAATCTCCCAAGACTAAACTAGGAAGAGACAGAAAATATTAACAGACCAATCACAAGTACTGAAACTGTGATTAAAAAACTCGCAACAAAAGTTCAGGACCAGACGGCTTCACAGGAGAATTCTACCAAACATTTAGAGAAGAATTAACACCTACACTTCTAAAACTATTCCAAAACACTGCAGAGAAAGGAATACTTCCAAATGCATTCTTAAGGCCACCATCACCCTGATTACCAAAGCCAAAGATCACACACACACACAAAAGACCAACATCACTGATGAACGAACACAGATGCAAAAATCATCAAAATACTAGCAATCTGAACCCAACAACACATTAAAAGGATTATACAACATGATCAAGTGGGATTATCCTAGGGATGCACAGATTTTTCAATATCTGGAAATTAATAGGATGATACACCATGACAACAAACTTAAGAATAAAAACCATATGATCATCTCAAGAGATGCAGAAAAAGCTTTTGACAAGAGTCAACATTTAAGATAAAAAACTCCAGAAAGTGGGTGTACAGGGGAACATGTCTCAACATAAAAAAGGCCATGTATGACAAACCTACAGCTAACATCATACTCAACAGTGAAAATCTGAAAGCATTTCCTCTAAGATCAGGAACAAGCCAAGGTGTCCACTCTTGCCACTGTTGCTCAATAAAGTTTTGGAAGTCCTAGCCACAGCAATCAGAGAAGAAAAAGAAATAAAAGAAATCCAAGCTGGAAAAGTAGGAGGAAAACTTCGACAGGAAAAGTCACTGTCGGCAGACAAAATACTACTACACACAGAAAATCCTAAAGATGGTACCAGAAAATTACCAGATTTTATCAATGAGTTTGGTAAAGTTGCAGGATACAAAATTGATACATAGAAGAAAAATGGAGCTGGAGGAATCAGGTCCCTGATTTCTGACTATACTACAAAGTGACACTAATCAGGATAGTATGGTACTGGCACAAAAACAGAAATATAGACCAATAGAACAGGAGAGAAAGCTCAGAAACAAATCCACAGTATAAAATACAAAAAAGCAAAGACAGTCACTTCAATAAGCAGTGCTGGGAAAAATGGAGAGCTACATATAAAAGAATAAAACAACATTTTGTAACACCGTTCACAAAAATAAACTCAAAATGGATTAAAGACCTCAATGTAAGAGTGATACTATAATACTCTTAAGAGGAAAACATAGGCAGAACATTCTTTAACATAAACTGTAGCAAATATCTTTTTGGATCCACATACTAATGAAAATTTTAAAAAATAAACAAATGAGACCTAATTAGACTTGAAAACTTGCACAGAAAAGGAAACCATAAGCAAAGTGAAAAGAGAACATTTACTGAATGGGAGAATATATTTGTGATGGAAAAGCCCAATAAAAGATTACTCTCCGAAATACAAAATATACAAACACCTCGTGTAGCTCAAAAAACAACCAACCAAAAAACCACACACAACCCAATTAAAAAATAAGCACAAGATCTAAGTAGACATTTTTCCAAAGAAAACATACAGATATCCAGACAGCACATGAAAACAGGCTCAACAATGCTAATTATTAGAGAAATACAAGTCAAAACTACAATGAGGTTATCACCTCACACTGGTCAGAACGGCCATGATCAAAGTCGATAAAGAACAAAGGTGGAGAAAGGGGAACCCTCCTGCCCTGTCTGTGGGCACGTAAGCTGGTACAAACACTACGGAGAACAGCATGAGTGAGTGAGTGAGGGTCTGTCAGTCGTGTCTGACTCTTTGCAACCCTATGGACTGTACCCTACCAGGCTCCTTTGTCCATGGAATTCTCCAGAGAAGAATACTGGAGTGGTCTGCCATGTCCTCCTCCAGGAGAATGGCATAGAGATTCTTTAAAATGCTAAAAATAGAACTACTATAAGATCCAGCAATCTTGGTCTTGGGTATACATCTGAAGAAAACCATAATTCAAAAAGATGCAAATACCCCAGTGTTCACTGCAGCACTATTTACAATAGCCAAGATATGGAAGCAACCAAAATGTCCATTAATGGAGGAATGGATAAAAAACATGCCACGCATCTGTCCGTGGGATTTCCCAGGCAAGAAAAATGGAGCCGGTTACCATTTCCTACTCCAAGGGATCTTCCTGACCCAGGGATCAAACCTAAGTCTCCTCCACTGGCAAGTGGGTTCTTTACCACTGAGCCACCACGGGAGCCCAAAAAAGACATTAGCAAGTATCAGTGAGAACACTGACAAATTAGAACCTTCACATTCTGCTGGTTAGAATGTAAAATGGTGTAATAGCTCTGGAAAACAGCTTACACTTTCTTAAAACATTAACATAAAAGTTGGGATATAATTCAGTGGCTTCATTTCTAGGAATCTACGCAAGAGAAGTGAAAACATATGTCCACACGAAGCCTGGTCTGTGGACATTCACAGCAGTACTGCTACTAACAAGGCAAACAGGGCAAATCCAAATGCTCTCCAGAGAATACTATTCAGCAATAAACAGGAACAAAATACTGATACAGCCTGCAATATGGATCAACTTCAAACACAAACTAAAAGAAGCCTGAGGCAGAATACACAGTGCATAATTCCACTTACATAAAATATCCAGAAAAAGCAGCAAAATAAGTTTCTAACTAAACTACTGAGATTGAGCACCAATATATTCCAGTATTTTATATCTTACAACATCAGCGACCATCACCTTGCCTTAAATTTCAAAATTTTTACTTGATACAGTTTCAACCAGAGAAATATTATATTAGTTAAGAAGCTCATCAGTGCCCAGCACATGTCTAGTTTATATGCAGCTAAATGCTTTGTTAATCTCTCTCCTGTTGTTTGACTTGGTCCATTTTAATTCAGTTAATATCCACACTCAAAATGAGAAAGGCAGGAGAACATAACTATCAAATTCTGTAGTATACCCATTAACAGTGATAGAGCTTAAGTAACAAAACACTTTAAAAGTCTTTCAGCAATCCATAGAACTAGGAGTTGGCTATAAAAACAAGACTCATTCTAGGGCTTTTCTGGTAGCTCAGTGGTAAAGAATCTGCTTGCCAATGCCAGAGACACGGGTTTGATCCCTGGTCTGGGAAGAGCCTGCGTGCCACAACTACTGAGGCCCGTGCACCCGAGAGCTCGTGCTCCACGTGAGAAACCACCGTGGTGAGCGGCCCCTGCTGCACTAGAGAGCGGCCTGCACAGCAACAAAGACCCAGCACAGCCAACAATATACAGAAAATTATATATATATATAAGATTCATTCTAATTTCTCCCAACTCCCTTAAGAAACAGGAAAAGATACTATATCCCAGGAACTAGAGAAATAAGAGTAAATATACAACAGCCTTCTAAGAGCATATGTGTTTGAAGTTTATTGCTTCTAAACTCTGCATTTGTTTTGACAACAGAATGACATTTTGTTTTCAGTGTAGTGTCCATACTCCTTCTGGCAATTAGCAGAGTTCTAAAAACCTCAAATTACAACTGAATTTTGAGGTTAAGAATTTTAAAAAAGCAAAGAGGTCAAAGAAGGTTCAGAAAATCTGTAAAATTTGTAAAAAAAGAAATTCTAACTAGTCCAGCAAAGAGCTATTTTGTAAAATAAAGTATCTTCCTGCATTTTATGTTTTTCCCTAAGACTGGTCAATACTGTGCATTTTAAACTGTAATACTGAGATTCAACAAAAGATAAAGTGGGGAATCTTAAAAGGTATATTTCACACTTTAATTAGAAAATTCATAAGAAACGGTGCTAAAAACCAAGAAAGAAGTTAAGCATGCTTCTATACCTGTTTCAACCTTAACTGCAAAACTGATGAAGACCCCAGTTACCCAAAGTGTAACAAAAGACATGCTTTAATCTTGTTTAAGGTATATTAACATATACACATAGAAGTACGGAACTCAAAAGTAAAGAGACACTTATTCAGTTATGTATTCAACACTGTCACTGGTAAGATGTGCAATCAAAGAAAGAGTGGAAATCAGTGTTCTAAGGACTGGACTGACTAGGATTACTATTCTGTCCCACTAGAGATAGGTGGTCCTTCTTTTCTGTTACTTATGATAACTCTGTACTAAATGAAGCAGCTGCGATACTTCATAGAATTATTGTTACCAAGGGCAAATCTTAAAGCCCTTCACAGTTTATTAAGCTTTCACACATGCCGTATCATCTGACTCCCACAACCACTTAATATCATTACTAGTTGATTCAATACTACACAGTAACCGCTTCTTGGAAGCATTTATCCACAAAGTTATGTTTATTATTACAAATAAGTATTAGCTGTGAAGCTAATGAGAGGGGAAAATATTATAAAGACTTAAAAGTTAACCGAAGTCAAGGTACAAAAGAATATGCTTTAGAAGAGTTAATCTTCTTGAAAAAAAAAAAAGCTGGGAAACCACTCCTCAGGAATTATATAAAAAGGACAGTCTCTATCCTGTCTCTTCCTCTCTCGGCCCCTACACCTTTCTCCTTTATTTTTTAGAGACAAACTTAGGACACCCCATGACTCATCACCTGGCTACCAGGAAAACGAGGTTAAAGGCTCCGGAATTATTCAGCTGGAGAAAAATAGATTTAACAACTGACTCTATATGTTGTTGTATTGAGGAAAGGTTCCGTTGTATTGAGGAAAGCGATAAGGTGTTTTACAAAATTAAAACAGGACATGAGTTTAAGTTTGCTACTGATAAAAGTACTACAGAAAAACCATTACAATTTTTCTGACAGTGAAAATTTATGAGTAAAATGCTTAAGGACCTTTATTTAAAAGGATTTTTGTAAGCAGGATAATTTCCTATTAAATGAAGTCATCTAAGCAAAGCTTCTGCTGTTTCAACACTTTGAAAGGAACAAGTCAAGGAAGGCTTAACTCTAACATTACCGTTGGAGCCAGTCGGGGTCTGGGTGCCCGCCCTTCACTGTTCTCTGGAGGCTGGGTCACACCGTCAGGGTGTGAAGAAGGTGCTGTAGGAAGCTGAGAGCTGGCTGCAAGGTGCTGAGATAACTCTTTTTTGTGGCTCTTCTCTGATCCATCCAATCTGCTACTTCTCTCTATGGCAATCAGGTCACGGATTTTTTGCAGCTGCTCCACTGAAGCTTTTTTAGGAAAGATAAGATGTGTTTCTCCCTGGAATTTAAAAAATTAGGGAAATATATATGAAATGGAGCCAACACTATAGAACACATCATACTTTAACAATCATTCTCCTTGTACCATTACGGCACTTTTTAAAAAAATTACAGGAAAAGGTATACCAGAAAATTAAGAAGATCTGTCTCCTTTTTAGCATCAGATGTTTAGCCTAACTTATTGGTTCAAAAGACCTTTAAAAATATTCTATCTTTTAGGAATACTGTAATAAGTCAGAAAGCCTCCTAAAGACTGCAAAAAAAGCACATTCCTATCTTCTCTGTAATAGGATATGATACAACTATTCTCCATGAAATTTCCTACAAGATCACTGGTCACATGAAACGAATAAAAAGTTATATAACAACCTTTGAATCTTCTCAAGTCTTTAAGAATAGCTGCATGATTAGAAGTCTATGGGGTCCACTAATTCTTCCAAAGTAACAAAAATTATACCCTGATGGTCATTTCAAAACTACAGATTGCTGTTTGGTAATACAAAGGTGATCCAAACAAACAAACAATAAAAATCCAATTCTTTTAAGAAGTGATTCATTTTAAGAATTCACATAATACAGAGTGCTCTAAGGTACAATAAACATTACAACAAAGCTCACAATGTAAAACAGTCAGCAAATTACAAAACAAAAAGTAAAATGAAAACATATTCAATCAAGGTTTTAGGTGTCAAGAACCAAGAGCATTAAAACCAAGAGCATTCTGTCAACTGCAAATAGGAGAAAACAGTTGTAACATGCAGCAGACCAATCTGTAGATCATGAGCATTTAAACTAAACTCCACAACTGAGAATGACTGTATTTCTCTGCTGATGGCAGAGCTACAGGAATCAACGGACCAAGACCTTACTCAATAATGACATGAAAGATCAATTCCAAGTGAATCCTTTTTAAAAAGCTGGGACAGGCCAGCGATCTCCATATATTACCCAAAATAGCCGTTAAGAAAGATCACTATCATTTATTGCATTTACGTGTTTCTAGGTATTGTGCACACATTATCTAAAGAATTCTTATAGCCACCTTGAAAGGTAGGTACTAGGTTTAGCCCCGCTTTTCATATGAAAATATGAAGGCTCAGAGAAATTAAATAACCTGCTTGATGTTCCGATGTCAGTGAGAGGATTCACACAACCGTAATTGCTATGCTGTAACCACCTCTATCTGAGACTGAACAGAGGTCAGTCAAATCCCACAGCCTGTACAAACAGGTGGAAGGGTAGAGGAAAGTATCACGACAGTTGTGATGATCATACACGCGATGACTGGCACAGACTGGAACACACTGATCTCCCAACATGAGAAAGGAACCACCTCCTATCTAGGACAACGTCTGGAAAGAGAAGCCGGATGCCTGGTTTAAAACCAAACAGGGAGGCCTCTGATATTGCACAGTGTGCGGGGCAACACAGAGGAAAGCAGATGATGCCATGGACAGGCAAAGGGGAGCCCCGCAGGCAGCGGTCTGCTTGGGCCACAGCTCAGAGAGGCCCCCCCTAATTCGGTGGGGGGGTGCCGTCCCTTCCATCTTCTCAGGACCAGTCCTGAAAGAATGTGTGGTTATCAACCAAGTGTCTGTACCAAAAAGTTTGATCAACAGCACTGCAGTTTCATAAAAGGACAAAACTACAGGCTTAACGCATGAGATCAAACATTTTAAGAAACCAACCAGGATTCCACTGTTTGACAAAATCTGTGTTTCTCAACACATTCCTGCTGAGACAATTCTCACTGCTGGCTGTGAGTCAACCCTGTCGCTGCCCAATAAATGCTGGTGACATCTTCCAGTCACCCAGACAACCGAAACCATGATGCCCACTCCTCCCTGGGGGTGGGTACGGCTCCTGGTGAGAACCACCCCACTAAGCTGGCCTGATGGGTCACCCCCCCTGTGAATCACTGTCTTTCTTCACCTCCTCCTCAGAATTTTCATAAAAAAGAATAGTCTCAGTCAAGTGAGTCCAAAGCTGTCAGGATTTTAATGAACAACTGAAAATTTCAGGATAGGTCTTGGATTCCCACTGCATCTCAAAGCCTACCAAGTTTCTTTCTGAAGGCAAAGTTCAGTTTCAGTTCTATTGGCTAACACTGATAAAACATTTACTTCTACAGGTTCTAAAGTGTGAAATTCAAAGCCAGCCAGTAAATCTAAACATAAATTAGTCTGAAAACAGGATAGTCTTATCTGAGATTGTGATTCCGTTTGTGTCGAATACTACTCCAAGTCTCAACCTGGCTTGTCACCTGGTACTGGTATAACCAACCCACAACAAGTCCGCCTGGGGTGGAGGGGTTGTGTGCAGTATGGGATTTCACTGCTAAAACCAGCACATTCCCAGGCAACTGCAACAGCTGGCCACCTCTCCTGGAGATCAAATATCTGCTGAATGAAAGATAAATCTGATTCCACTGAATCTTTAACAATAAAAAACTAGTCATCTCCAGTTGTCATTTACTTAAAGTGAAAGTTGCTCAGTTGTGTCTGATTCTGCGACCCCATACAGTCCTTGGGATTCTCCAGGCAGGAATACTGGAGTGAGTAGCCTTTCCCTTCTCCAGGGAATCTTCCCAACCCAACGATTGAACCCAGGTCTCCCACATCCCAGGCAGATTCTTTTTTTTTCTAAATTAATTTACTTTTATTGAAGGATAAACGCTTTACAGAATTTTGCTGTTTTCTATGAAGCCTCAACATGAATCAGCTATAGGTATACATATATCTCCTCCCTTTTGCATTTCCTTCCCATCTCCCTCCCCACCCCACCCCTCTAGGTTGATACAGACCCCTGTTTGAGTTTCCTGAGCCATACAGCAAATTCCCGTTGGCTATCTGTTTTACATATGTTAATGTAAGTTTCCATGTTACTCTTTCCATACATCTCACCCTCTTCTCCCCTCTCCCCATGTCCATAATTCTATTCTCTATGTTTATTTCTCCACTGCTGCCCTATAAATAAATGTTTACCATTTTTCTTGATTCCATATATATGCATTACAATATTTATGATTTGTATATTTTTATATCATATAATTTATGATTATATGCTATACAATATTTATCTTTCTCTTTCTGACTTACTTCACTCTGTGTAATAGGTTCTAGGTTCATCCACTTCATTAGAACTGACTCAAATGCATTCCTTTTTATAGCTGAGTAATTTCCATTGTGTGTATGTACCACAAATTCTTTATCCATTCATCTGTAGATGGACATCTAGATTGCTTCCATGTTCTAGCTATTGTAAATAGTGCTGCAATGAACAATGGAATACTTGTGTCTCTTTCAATTTTGGTTTCCTCAGGGTATATGCCTAGGAGTGGGATTGCTGGGTCAAATGGTGGTTTTATTCTTGCTTTTTAAGGAGTCTCCATACTGTCTTCCATAATGGCTGTATCAATTCACATTCCCACCAACAGTGTAAGAGGGTTCCCTTTTCTCCACATCCTCTTCAGCATTTATTGTTTGTAGACTTTTTGATGATGGCCATTCTGACTGGTGTGAGATGATATTGTAGTTTTTGATTTGCATCTCTCTAATAATGAGAGATGTTGAGCATCTTTTCATGTGTTTGTTAGCCATCTGGATGTCTTCTTTGGAGAAATGTCTGAGTCTTTTTCCCACTTTTGATTGGGTTGTTTTTCTGGTATTGAGTTGTATGAGCTGCTTGTATATTTTGGAAATTAATCCTTTGTCCGCAGGCAGATTCTTTATCAGCTGAGCCACCAAGAAAGTCCAAGCATACTGGAGTGGGTAGCCTATCCCTTCTCCAGGGGATCTTCCCAACCCAGGAATCATTTACTTAATTTTCCTGTCATTTAACTCAAAAATTTGCATTTCCTTGAACAAAATTAGCAATTTTCTCAATTTTCCGTCTATAGTTTTAACTTCTTTATGTTTAGATACCTGTGAGCAGCTACAAGCGGATGACACAATAATTGACACTACCCTGCCCTCTCCTTTGCAATCATCACAGCTTTCTTCACTCTCTCCCTGATACCTCTACTTGAATATTTAACAGTGTACCAGTTACAATTATCCAAAAGACAGCTAGTAGTTTTTCCTCCTCTGACACCTGCTACCCTCCAGGACTTTTCTGTCTCAATGAATGGAACTCCTATCCACGTAGTTGCTCAAACCAAAACCTAGATGTCACCCTGACTTCTTCCTTCCCCTCATACTTCCACACCTAACTCATCAGCAAGTCCCACAGACTCTGCTTCAAAAAGAAACCCAGGATTTCCCTCATCCCCACTGCGGTTGGTCTTTAATCCAACTTTAATTCACTGAGTGCCTATGTGTGCTGGTCCCTCCCCAGGAGCCAGAGCACAGGAAACACAGAGAGATAGCCCACCAGCACAGAACTCACACAAACCACCGCCATTTCTCAGAGAGACGAAAACAATGAGCTTTCTAAGGCGAGGCTTATCCCTCACCCTCATGCAAAACATTCAGGATACTCTCTCTACAATGGCCAGAGCGGTCTTCCACTGGCTTCCCATCCCACTTGTCACCAAGCCATCTTTACCGCAGCTCCCCAAACTCCACGCCCACAAGTCTGTGGCTACTGTGCCACAGCTACACCTGCTAGAAGTCCTCTGCAGGGCGGCTCTCCGTGACTGGAAAGCCCTCGCCTGAGAGCATCAGGGACCTCAGCTGCTTCTCCTCGCTCAGGTCCCAGGGGGCCTCCTCGGCCACTCTTCCTTGCATGGCTGCTCCCAAATACAGCGGCTTACAACGTCTTTTCAAGCCTTACGACATCTATGTTTTCACATCTGTCTGTCTGCCTTACTGGAATGCAAGCTCCACGTGAGACGGGATCTGTTACCTCTTCACCACTGGATTCCTAAGGCCTGAAGCAGATGTGGGGAGGGAAGCAGAGAGGCAGGGAGGCAAGCGCACCCAAGGCCACAGCCTTGCCAGCTCTAACTGCTACTGATCACTCAGCCTCTAGAACCGGCTCTGATAGCTTTCAGTACTCCATAAACTAGAAACGGCTAAGCATAGACATACACACAGAAAACTCATCATCTAGACAGCTACTTTCCTGTGTCATAAAATTAAACTATGCCACAGACTCTACAAGATGGAAACACCAAACTTTTTGTCTGACCTAAAAATAAAAACAAACACAAAACACTGAGAGTCTTTTCTCCTGTCACAGAAGAGAACCCGTATGTGTGGCAGCTAAACTCGACCTTTCTTGTTTTTACCCTTTTCATTTCTTCCTGTAGACAGGGGGTTGGAGGCTATTCTTCTGTGCTCACATAGCAGATTTTGGCTAAAAGTCTAAGAGTCACAATTTAGTCCCTGGGTTACACGCCTGACCTCCCTAAAGGACTGAGATGGTAAGAATTCTCCCCATGGGAGAGCAGTTATATTTTACTGTGATTTTAAAGTATATTTATTGTGATTTTTCAATGTCCAATAAGTGAAGAAATAACTGGTTCCATAGCTTTCCTGAACGAATCAATTAAAAAATATTATCTTGTTTAGAAATCACTGATCAACATTACAATGAATGCTCTGTACATAAACCGCAGAGAAAGCCAAGAACACACTTACCTCTTCAAATCCCATTTCAAATAAACATTCAACAGCTCCTCTGACAGGCAAGAGTCGAGTAGAAAAAGTTGTGTTTCCAATCCGGATAGATCTGTATTTTTCATCATTAGGGTTTCTGATGGAAAAAAAAAAAGTCTGGTTATATATAACAATTTATAATTTTCACCATGTTTTTACATTCTTTCTACGTTTTACGCTGGCTATATTCCCTCAAGAAAGTAGAGACTTTACAGACAGCCGGTGTGGAAGGACACCCTGATCTGGTGATTCTTCCCTCAGGGCACACTTAGCACAACATCACTGTTTACCTTCACAGCTGATCATTAATGCTGCCAGGAGGGAAATACATGCAACTTTCTATTTCTGTGCTGTTAAAATTAGACACTGATGAGGCTGCTAANAAAAAAAAAAAAAAAAAAAGGAAGAAGAAGAAAAACTCATGCAAGCTCCAGACAGGGGAAGAAAGAAGTTTTGCCTGTTTTGTTCTGATGGATCTCAATCATCAAGAGTAACACCTGACATGTAGATGGTGTTAATAACTTACAGTTTATTAAAAATTAATAAATGCTTGTGAATGGATACAAGAAACTAAGGAGTTACATAAAAATGAACCAAAGTTCCTCAAATACTACTTCTCACAAACACGAACCTAGTTATAACTTAACAGGCATTTGATTTTTCTTCCTTCCCTAGGCCAATGGTTGTTTTTACTACAAGTCTTGTTTCAGCTCAAGATATATTTTTGTCAACAATAAGTATGGTAATAATATAAAATGAAGATTTGAATTTCTTTTACAATCATTAAGATTTTGAATATTACACATGGGATGAGACCAGCACATGAAACATCTTTGAGATTTTTAATAATCTTGATAAACCAGAAAGATTGTTAGAAAAAAAAAAAAGGTTAAAGACAATCATGGTATTATACTCAAAAAAGGCCTTCTGAACATAATTCAGGATAAGCAGGTTTCATATCTGACAGTGACACCTTTAAAAATGGTGGAACTTAAAGTGTTAGTCACTCAGTCATGTCCAGCTCTATGTGATCGCATGGGTTGTATGCTCTGCCCATGGAATTCTTCAGACAAGAATGCTGGGTCGCCACTCCCTTCTCCAGGGGATACTCCTGCCCCAGGGGTCACATCCAGGCCTCTGCACTGCAGGCAGACTCCTAACCGTCTTGCGCTGCCAGGGGAGTCCGATGACGGTGGCCTCCGTCAGCACATTAAGGTTTCTGTGGCTGCGCCAGGTGTCCACAGAGGAAGTCCCGAGGCCATCAGTCTGGGGTCTGGAATGGCGGGGTGGCCAAATGCTAGCAGATAACCAGTCACCTTAGTCCTAAACTTACACATGTTCTCTGGATACTGTGGTATAAGAACAAAACCAAAATAGGTATTTTTAATTGTGGAAGTTTCAACAAATTTCACATTTGTTTTCCATCAAGCAGCTCCTGTTGCCAAACTGTCATAAACACTACATGAAACTTTTTTTAAAACCTTTTTTTAATTTCAAAAACTACACAAGTTTATTACAAAATATTCAGAGACAAAAGCTTTAAAATAGTGTTAAAGTGTCCAGATTGGTGCTAATCTACTCTTTGCTATTCATCCATGAGGAATACAGAAATTGAGAGCATTCAGTTATTATTACAGTAACTTGACATTGCCATGCAATTTTCATTGTATTTTACAAAAGTTATAGGTCCACAAAGGATTGGAGGTTAAAAACAAAAGCACTATTCTTCATTGCAGGTCATCTGAAAATGACAGATAACTGTCATTTTCTGTCATAAAATGACAGAAACACAAGGAGAGACAAGTGCCTTACTATTTTATTCTGTGTATTAGATCAGAGTTTCTAAGTCTTGGCAATACTGACCTTTGGCCTTTGTTGTGGGAGCTGCCTGGGCACAGCAAAACGTTGTGTCCGAGGCTTCTCTGCTACACTAGGTCACAAGCGTGCCACCCTTCCTTACAATGTAAACATGAAACGACAGCATAACCGTACCTTTATCAAAGCTGGTTACAGATAAATGAGGCATCTTTTCATGATTCTCAACACATCCCACAGGGTGATAAACAAAGCAGTACCACCAGGATGGTACATTCCACTGGTGCAAAAGTGCCAGAGCTCTTAATCTACTTTTTCCCAACAGTTCCCAGATTTCTACATAATCAAAGTCTTTTATTGCGCTTAATTTTCTAATTTTTCTTCCCCTTTCCACTAGTGTTTAAAAATTCTTATAAAACTTACATGAGCCGTTCTGATACAGCTTATTATTTTGATGTGTTTCAAAGTAACTGTCGATGCAGCATCTTTGATATGGGCTTTGTATAGTTTAGATTTTCCTCTCTAGCATCTAGTAGGCAATTTCCTATCTTTGTACACTATCTATGAACCTCATATATTATTCATCTGTTTTTCTTATTCAACACATATTGCAAACAAAAAAAATGGCAATAATGTCCAGTTACCCAAATATCTTCCTCTTTTAAAATGTGTTGAGCAGAACAGCCAGAGTAGTGAGTAGAGACTGATGTGAAAATCAACCTCTGAAGCCCTCAAAGGCTTAGAGAATTTGGCTCCAGGACCTTCAGGTCTCCAATCCATCAACTCCCATTTCCTGCCTTTGGAAAAGCGCCACACAGACACACACACACGCCTAGACATCTAGCTTCACAGTTTAAGCCTTGTGCAGCCACTCTCCTTGAGCTCATTACTACTCTCCTTACCCGGTGGCATCTAAAGCAGCCCTAAGGATCACCTTCAGTTTTGTCTGATCTTCCGTTAATTCTCTACAGATTTTTCTCAAATTTTTTGTGCTATAACTCTTTGATGTTTTTCTTCCTATCTCTGCTGACCATTAATTATTTCTGACTTCCAGTATTTATCTTGCTGATTAGCAATTATTTTGTACCTTAGCTTGAGGTTTCTTCTGGTTGCTGGATGATGCTGTTGAAGAGATGAGGCTTGGCAGCAAAATTTCTTGAATCTTACTCAACTGTCACTCTGAACACATTTTGGTGTCTTGTGAGTTGTCTTATCCACAGGTATCACCAAATTGTTTCATCTATAGAAAAATTAGTCTTTGTATTTACAACTAATCCCTTCATGTATCACACAACCTTGTTGTAGCAATGGATCTTGCATAACTCAATGAAGCTGACTCATGCCACGCAGGGGCACCTAAGACAGATAGGTCACAGTGGAAAGTTCTCACAAAACGTGGCCGCTGTACACAGTTCAAGAAGCAACAGTACTGGACATGGAACTAGTCCAGTGGACTAGTTCAAAACTCGGAAAGGAGAACGTCAAGGCTGTATATTGTCACCCTGCTTATTTAATTTATATGCAGATAACTTCATCTGCATGTCGGGCTGGATGACTCACAAGCTGGAATCAAGATTTCTGGGAGAAGTATCAATAACTTCAGACCTGCAGATGACACCATTAATGGCAGAAAACAAAGAGAAACTAAAGAGNACTTAAGTGTTTCTGCTTCAGAATTTCTGAAATGCTAGGAATTAAGTATATCTGAGCAATTTACTTGTCCTCTTCTTCTTTGGAATGCACAATCCCAAAAAGACTTCTCACAAACAGAAACATAGTATATGAGTGCATTCTATAATCTTGTATTTTTATCACTGATCACAGAAGTCATTTTGTAGGTCATTTGAAACACTATTTCTTAGTCCTTCTGAAAAACTTATTCTGAAGTACAAGTAAAATTTCAAAAACATCTCTCTGCCTTTAGAATCATCTGGGAACCATCTCTGGCTCTAACTTTACCATTCTCTGTAGCTGACAACATGGGAAACATGTGCATATAACCCAGCTTAACATGAAAACCTGAATGAGAAAAACAAACAACATGTGTGCCATGTCCTTTATTTATTTCTTTCTTCTGCGACAGTTTTATAATTTAAGTATTGTTCTTTCCTGTTAACACATTGTTGACCAGGGGATTTTTGTAGAAACTAACACCAGTGGCCAATGATTTATGTAGTTGAGCACTGAAACACTCTGGTCAATAATATCTGGGTAACAAAAGATGTATTAATACATCTCTGGTCAATAAGTTGTTAAACATGAGGAAATTGATAGCCAGAGTTTACATAAATCACCTATAATCACATTCCTAGAAAACAGCTGACAGGGACTTAAACCCACTCACTGGTTTGATTACAAACACTCTCCACTATACAGTTGCCAACAAACTCATCCATTCTCCATTAACTGCCTGGCTCAGTTTCTCCAGGTGTCAGTGGTAACCCAGATGAGAAATCCGAAGTTATTTCAGGCGTTCTGTCTTCTCCCATTACCAGCTGTACCCCTGGCACTCAGTCATCAAGGATTGCCAGTCCTCGCCTACAACTGTCTCTCCATTCATCCAGTTACATACATGCTGATTGCAACAACTTCAGACGTGAAACCCATGCCTTCTTATGTCATCATTCTACACGAATCTCTCATTATGCTCTGAGTCTAGAAACTACAAGTGCTTTCTGTTGCATATCATGTCAAATATATGTTATCTTATCAAACCTTTCTTCTCAAAACCGTTCCACATGAGGTCCCTTCTATCTCCTCTCATATAAATATGTAAGCGTTTAAACATCATCCTCGAATTGTCCTCCAGATATTATGCTATGGCTATTTTCTGTATCTCTGTCTTTCTCCTAGACATATTTTCTTTGAAGAAAGAAACCACTTTCCATTCTTAGCTCTTCCCAATCATACCCAGTGTAGTTCATAACCAGTAACTGTGTGCAGTTTGCAAAGGAAATTAGTGGGAAACAAAATTTTTTAAAAGAATGAATGAAGCAAATTTTCCAGGGAGCCCATGTGGAATGTTAGTAAAACTATTACAGATTTTTGAAAGGTAGACACTGAGGACAGTGGATTTTTATCAAGAAGTTAGTGAACTGAAAAAAATGGTTCTAACTCATGGTATATTGTGCATGCAAATTAGCATATACTTCATTCTATAATTTCACGAGCTTTATGACTCTTGGTTGGGGAACAGGATAAGCATAATCTGAAGCAGAAATTTAAAATTTAAACCAAAGTATTATTTTCACCTGTGTGCAGTGACAAATATTGCTATTTAAAGACAAACTGCAAATAAAATTCTCATTTCAGCATTCACCCTATAAAATATTATAAAATAACTACCCTGAGGTAGTTGCAAGGGATATCAAGACAACACCCTCCCTTATCTCTAAGGTTAAAGGATTTCCTAAAGCATCAAAACAAACAGAAAACTGGGTCTCCTCTGTTCTCTAGCATATCTGTAGTGCAGAAAGGCTAAGGACTCAAGAGGTCTGGGGCTTTTCTGTTAACAAGTAAGCTAGTAAATGGACTTGGAAGGGGAAGAAAACGTGGCTCCCCCCCACCAAGATCAAAGGAGTTTGAACTGTAAGAATATGAGAATGGGGAACTAATATTACTACTTAAAACAAACTAGAACAGATAGTTTTTCACACCATCTCCACCTATATGAGTTCAACTTCTAACTTCTTTTTATAGACAAACATTTTTTAAGATAGAAAACATAAGCCACGGTAAAGACTGTAACATACAAGAACAGCATGCCAAGTTTCTTCTATGAGTTTGGTAAACATTCATAGTGATAACTGTGATGCAAAAGGATCTCCTTCCTCACAACACCTTGATCTCAGCATCCGTGGTTTCACTGGGTTGAAAACAGAAGTGAATCCTCATTGTAAGGCCAACTCCCTGTTCCCAATAACGGGGTCTGAACAGCTGGGTGGCTCCCCAGGCGGGAGGTCCCTGGAGAACTCTGCCTCGGGGTTCACTCAGGGCAGAATCCTCCAGCATCGGCCTGGAGCTCCGAAGAGCTGTTTGACCTCCTGGGGTAGGGAAATCGAGCCGAGAAGGTGTCACAGAGGAAGGAGACAGCCCCCACATAGGTCACAATCGTGCCGCGGTGCACACCGCGCCCCTCGGAGCAGCTGGCTCAGGGCAAGGGCTCCATGTGGTGTTCCTTCGCTTCACCTGTAAAGTCATCAAGCGGACCTGTATGAAGGGCTTCCCTGCTGGCCCAGCTGGTAAAGAATCCACCCACCGATGAGGGAGACCTGGGTTCGATCCCTGAGTCGGGAAGATCCCGTGGGGAACGGCTCCCCATTCCAGTATTTTGGCCTGGAGGATTCCATGGACTGGATAGTCCCGTGGGGTCGCAAGGAGTCGGTCACGTCTGAGCGCCTTTCACTGAGCATTGAAACTGCCATGTCTTAAAACACTGCACTCGCAGCTAACGTCTCCAAAATCAGGTCACGTGAAATCTAGAGCCTTGAAGCTGAGAGGGAATCTCCTTTTCAGACTTCACGCCAACACACAGCGCACCAGGTGCCGAGGCGGGGGAGGGACGGAGGGGCAGGCGGAGCCTTCACGGGCGCCTCTCTGCCCCCCACCTCAGGTGCCCTCTGCCCCTCACCTCTGGTCCCTCTGGGCACCACGTGGTGGGACCTAAGAGACGAGGGAAGTCGTCCAAACTCCACTTCCCGACGCCCCCAAGCCGCGAGGTCCCTCGAAGGTCTGGGGGTGAACAAAGCCCCCCCAGCGAGGGCTGCCCTCGCGGACACGACGGCGGCGTGAGGATGCCCGCAAGACGCCGACCGGAGAACGGCGCGCCCCTGACGAACTTCTCAGCCGCCTGTGGCAGCTGAAGGTGCCCGGTGGGTAAAACACTAGCGGCGGGCGTGAGACGCTTGTGGCCGCTTCTGTCCGGACTCGGAAGACAGTTCAACGGCCGGAGCCCCGGGCGCGTCTCCCCGTTCCCGCCCCGCGCGACGCCAGGGGTCAGATCAGGACACCGCCTCCCCTCGGGCGGGGCTGGGCGAGCCGGGTCTCCGTCCTGGGGGCCCGGGACGGGAGACCCTTCCCCCGCCCCCGGCACCACCGGCCGGGCGCACCCCAAGCCCTGGCCGAGCGGGGGCCGCGCCCTGCCTGCCGTCCGCGTCCCCCAGCGGCCCGCACCTGAGGATGTTGTCCGCGTAAGTGAGCAGCAACCTCGAAGCCTCCAGGAAGGTCTCCGGGGTGTTCTGGCAGAGCTCGGCCACAGCCGGGGAAGAAACCTGGTGGTCAGGGCCCAAGGATCTTCGACCAGACGGGGATGGGGTCTTGATCGTCCAGAACAAGGGGCTTTGCCCAGGGGTGTTGGGCGTCCCTAGTGGCTCAGCTGTAAACAATCCGCCTGCCATGCCGTAGAGGCGAGTTCGATCCCTGGTTTGGAAGATCCCCTGGAGGAGGAAATGGCAACCCACTCCAGTATTCTTGCCTGGAGAATCCCATGGACTGGGGAGTCTGGCGGGCTGCAGTCTATGGGGTCCTACAGTCTATGGGGCCGCAGAGAGTCGGACACGACTGAGTGACTTGGCAGCAGCAGTAGCAGTCTGGTAGTGGTAGCTTCCAGTAAACGAGGTCAGATGTGTGATCTCTGAAGATTTAGCTTCGGTACCAGGGACCAGGTTTGATCACTCAAGAGCTTCTGTGTAACAGTTTCATTAAAGTATGAAAAGGGACAGAGAAGGTTTCTTATCAACCTGCCTAGGAATTAACTCAGTAGCCTGGGCCAGGGGTGGGGTGGAAGGGCTGGTACAGGGGGTCGCCGGCTTTGGCCAGGGCTAGTGGGTGCTGGCTGGTACATTGCAGAAACCTGGGTTCCTCTGTGTCCCAAGGCCAACCTCAATAGATCCAGCCAAGACAGTGGGGAAACTCCTTGTACTCCAACTGCCAGCTTTTTCCCAAATGAAAATATCTTACAGCATCCTCCTCGCAGGTTGTCAGGCCTTCCTAGATAAATGGGGATGAAAGACCCCAGGAGAAAGGAGCAAGCAGTTTTCAAAACCAAAGGCATGGCTATGAACTCTGCTGGGATTCCCCTCTATGGATTCCTTTTAGAACTAGATAAATGACTGAAAATCTCTTGCATCATTCCCAGCCCAGATAGTATGATGTTTCTGTAAAGAAGTGTTTTGAAACTGCAGGTTGCAGGTGGTGGACTCTATTGACCAAAATAAAACACAGACCCAATAGTGACAGAATAGGATAGAGGGGAAAGGAGAGACAGCAAGTTATGCATCCCATATAGTAAGGGTGTGTATCAATTTGTGACTTTGTTGTGCAGGTGGAGGCTGTGATGAGTGAGTGTCCTTTATTCCTCTTAGAAGATGGATCCTAACCTCTTTAATCCATGCTCTGCCTCTCCATGTCTTTGAAAATGTGCTTTACCAACAATGCCTCCTTTCTTTGCAGAAATTCCTTTCCAAATCTCAACAAATATTGTTTATTGACGATCGATTTTAAAGGTAAGTTTTTGTCTAAGTTTCTTTAAATATTCTTGATGCTTTATCTTCAGTTTGGTTTTTAAGTTTGAAATTTTCTTCCAGTATCTCTGAGCAAGTCCTTGAGCTATACTACCCACTTCAATTATCATTCAATTGGCAGATACATGTGAGATTTTGATAAATATGTAATATTTGTGTATTAATAAATATAATATCCTTGGACCAGGTTCCAAGAATGGTGTGTTTAACTGATAATTTGTTGTTAGCTGCTGTAACTAAAGATTCCCATGATTTAACATAAGAAATATCTTTCTTGTGCACACAACAGTTTAACGATGCAGTTCTCATTTGTCAGTTCCTCCGTATAATGATTCAGGGCCCCAGGCTCCTTTCATCCCACAGCATAGAGATCAACAAACATTTTTTATAAAGGGCCATATGCATACATGCTCCGTTGTTCAGTTGTGTCCGACTTTTTGCGACCCCATGAGCTGTACCCTGCCAGGCTCCTCTGTCCATGGAATTTTCCAGGCAAGAATACTGGAGTGGGTTGCATTTAGTAAATGTTTAAGGCTTTCTGGCCATAGGGTCTCTGTTTCAACTGTTAACTACTCTGCCTCTGCAGCAAACAGTAGAGTTTGCTCTTAACACCCCTAACATGGGGTGTTGGGGTGAACAGCATGGGGTGTTATGGTCACCAACACTCCCTGGCAGTCAAATTCTGTGAATAACATCCTCTGTATATATGTGAGGTTCCACTGTAGCTCGTAGATCATACTGAGTGGTTTTGAATCTGAGGATTTAACCAACAGCAGACCATGTAGCACTGTAGCATTTAATATTGAAAAAAATCCATGTATTAAGTGAACCCAGGCAGTTCAAACCCATGTTGTTCAAGGGTCAACTGTACTTTAGAATGAATGGGTATGGTTAGGTTCCAAAGAAACTATTTACAAAAACAAGCAGCCTTCTGGATTTAGCTTGTGGTTTGTTAACTACTGCTATATGGCCTCAGAGACTTCTGCATTTACTTAGTGGCTGGCACAAAGAAGGCATATCTGCTTCATGGGCCCAGAAATGACAAACAGCGTTTTCTTTACTGTATCACTGGTGAAAAGGAAGCCCCAACTACGTAAAAGTCGGCCGGGGTTGGGGAGGGTGGGAGGCTGGGAAATGTAGTCCTTAGCTGGACAGGGAGCACCCACAACCTTCAAGCAGGGAGGATGGGGGTGGTGGTTGGGGTTGTGATTAACTGTCTCCATCACAAACTGTATTCCCCTGGAGTTTCTTTTTCCATCAACTTATTTATTCTATAATAATCACATAAGGTTACCATATACTATCTAATAGTTAGAATTTTTTTTTTTAAAGATCTAGAACACCTTTTTTTTTTTCCCAAATAAAATCTTAAGAGAAAACCTAGTATATATAAAACACCAAAGTGGAGGCACTCTAGGATTGAAGCAGGAATGCATATGTGGTGTGAGGAGGAACAGAGTATTATCAACTCAGCTTTTCCCTTGACAGGTGTTGGCCTTGTGAGTGCTTCTGTGGGAAACATGCAATCACAGTGTGAAAACCAGTGCTACAAAATTAATGCTATTATAATATCATACAGTCCATAAAGTCATAAAAATCCCCATTTCAAGGGTAATTCACTGAGTTATTGTTTATTTTAATTCATCTGAAATTTTAATCCTTCCCAATTACTCTTTACTTTGAGTAACTAAAATCTCTCTAGGATACCATTTATGGAGCTATTAAGGAATTTATTATAATAAGGGACTTGACTCATTCTTTTCCTTGTCTGCTTCTTCTACTTCCGTAAGTTGAAAATATTTTGATTTTTCAGTTTCCTGTAGAAAAATCAAAGATATTAAGCTACTCTTAATTTCTTTATACCCACCACTGCTTCAAACACACAAAAGATATTCTAGTTTAAATCAGGTTTGAACTTTCTGTTCTTTCACTTGATTTTTTTTTTTTTTGCTTCAGAATAATGAATTTCCTTTTAGGATTCCAGCTTTATTAAGAACACCATCTTTAGGTGACATATGACATATGGTGGCACCATTCTTAGATGAAATAAAGATACGACTCACTAAAATTTCCCTGGGACAGGTTTTGTCATAAAAAAAATGAAAATGTTGACCTAAATGAAGACTACTGGCAAGGAGAGGGGTTGAAGCCTTTCAGGAGTATATGATGATTCACTATTGTATGATCGTATTACGTATGTAACTGATTTACTATTTATTGAGCACACACTTGAGCATCCTGAGATGAATGACATTAAGAAACATTTAATCTAGTAGGAAGGACAGAACGAATAATAATACCTTATACACAGATAGCTGTTCAGTTGATGAAACAAAGTCCCTGTGAAAAACCATTTGGTAAGAAATGTGCAAAGTGGTGTATGCATACGCGTATGTGTTTGTTCATTCATTCTGTAATTCATTCACTCACCAAATAGTTATGCAGTGGCTACTGAAGGTGCTGTCTGCACACAACCAGTGGCGATGAGCACGGGCCCGCTGTCTTCACAGGAGTCCCAGTGAGTCCGCCCACCGGTTGGACCGGCAGCAGCATCACCAGGGAATTCGTCAGGATGTTCTCAAGCCCCATCTTTTTTTTTCCATAATTTTACTTATTTTTGGCTATGCTGGGTCTTCGTTGCTGCGCAGGCTTCTCTCCAGTTGTGGCAAGTGGGGGCTCCTCTCTCACTGCGTCGTGCAGGCTTCTCCTTGCAGGGGCTTTTCTTGCTGCAGAGCACGGCTCGAGGGTGCTCGGGTCTCAGCAGTGGCGGCTCATGGGGCCTAGAGCACAAGCTCAGTAGTGTGGCACACAGGCTGAGCTGCTCGGGGGCACACGGGATCTTCCCGGACCAGGGATTGAACCCCTGTCTCCTGCATTGGCAGTCGGATTCTTTGCCACTGAGCCACCTGGGACGCCCTCAAGCCCCATCTTTACAGGTGACCCTGCACACACTGCAGTGATGCTCTTTCTAAACCACCCCTCTGATCATGTTATTTTTCTGCTGAGAAGTCTTCTGTGGCTACCCCTTGCCCACATGTAACCAAGCAAGACCCCTATAAAACCTTCCTGGAATAGACCTCCCCCACCCATGTCCTCCACCTGCCTTTTGTCTGTATAAAGACTTTAGTCAAAGGGAAACAGTCAAGACAAAACAATACTTCTGCCATTAAACAAAGTCAAGGACCTTTCCCCTTTCTGAAAGACTATAGATAATATTCTGAGCCTTGGCCTGTGAGCTGTTTTGCAGATTCTGAAATCCCCACCAGGTGGAGAAGTTAATTGCATGCTGCCCACAAGCAGGTAGACCCCAGACCAGTTGGAACCAGAGGGTTGATGATGCTGACTCTGGATTACCTCACCACCAACCAATCAGAAGGACGTCCACAGCTGACCACATCCTGCTCCTTGAACACCATGATTCCTCACTGCCCCTTCTAGGACAGGACACGTAGTCTTGAGGGCATTTGCCCGCTATGACCCCCTTTGCCTGGCAAAGCAATAAAGCTACTTTTGTTTTTACCCAGAATCTTGTCCCTGAGATTTAATCCAGTACCAGTGTACAGAGACCAAATTTCAGCAATTTAGCACACTCTCTACAGTCAAGTGATGTCACAAATTAGGAAAGAGATTTGAACATAAGTGGCTTTGTTCAAGACAAAAAGGAGTAGCAGAGATCCCGGGGTAGGGAATGAGAGAGTGTACCATTTCCTTCCTAGAGGAATTTAGATTCAATAAAAGAAGGTTGCAGTCCATAGGTTTCAACTGGGGCTGCCCACATACCATCTCTGACCTACAGGAGTAATCCAAAGTCTTCTGCACAAAACCCAAGACTTGTTCCCATCAGCCCATTCTTCACTCTCAGACATTCCCTGTTGCTTTGTCCCACACCTCAAATCCAGTGTTGGCCACACTGAGCTACTACCAGCAGGTTGTAGAAGATACCAGGTCTCAGAAGTTTGTTCTGTTCTGCCTGGCAGGATGTCCTTTCCCACCAAGATTACTAGACATTTACTCACCTTCAAGATGCAAGTTCAAAGGTCAACTTTTTGGAAGACTTTCCTGACTTTGGAAGGTAGTATTTACCCATAGTATTATATTGTCTCTTTCATATTATTATAATTGTTATATTCTTCTATTACAGCACCTGTTTCTGTACTTTGCACGTATTTGTCTTCACAGCTATTTCCTTCTACTAGACAATAAACTTCTTGAAAGCAAGAACCATACCCTATTCATTTTCATATGCCAGTTTCTGGCTCAGGTTAGGCAGAATGTTGAAGAAAGTACAAGCAAAGATACAGAGATGAAAAAAGAGAAGCTGAAGTCCACCCAGAGGTGATAAGCTCAGTTTTGCTGGGTGTTGGTCTGCACCCCATAGGCCTGCAAACCCTGTACTTGCTCAGCTTCAAGACTGAAAAAAGGGCCCAGGGTCAGTGACAGAGACATCGATGGTTTAATGGATGGAGGGATCTTACACGTGTGCCACAGATGGTGGGCAGGTGGGCAGGTCGTGGCAGGGGTCTTTGCTTCCAGTAGGAGGGGGCCCCAGTTGATATCCGGCTAGCTCATAGGTTACCAGGAGAAGCAGAGGGGCATATCTCATGGCCCCTTTGATAAACTGTCACATTGGGGGGGGGGTGGTGGTTCTGATCTAAAGATTAGAACAATCACTAGCTGGGGCTGGCGCAAGTGTGTAGGAAGGTCACTCATGTGAACAGATATAGGTGAAACAGACTCTAGTTGAGCAGAGCAAGAGACAGTCATCTTGGGTGGAAATCTGTTTTAACAGAGAATGGGAACTATACCTCGAAATACAGTTTTGAACCAAATCACAAAAATTTAAGTAAACCTATAGCTGAACAAGAGACTATGGTAAGTGGGGCCGTTTTGAAGGTTTTTGGATAAAATACCAATGTATTTTGGCAAGGAATATGGTACTAAAGGGCTTCCCTGGTGGCTCACATGGTAAAGAATCCACCTGCAATGCGGGGAGACCTGGGTTTGATCCCTGGGTTGGGAAGATCCCGTGGAGTAGGAAATGGCAACCCACTCCAGTATTCCTGCCTGGAGAATCCCCATGGACAGAGGAGCCTGGCGGGCTACAGTCCACGGGGTCGCAAAGAGTCAGACATGATTAAGTGACTAAGCACATGCACACACATGGTACTAAATCGTATACATCTATTAGAATATCATAAAATTTCTCACCCCTTTCCAGACCAGAGATCAGAGGGAGAAATGAAAATGAAATGACTCATCAGTGGCTTTACTTTTCTACAATATTTTAATCAACTTGTCACTTCTTATCCAAGATAATTTAGTGATGTACAAAAGAAAAAAGAACAGCGTGTTAAAACTGTTATGTTGCATATGAGTTTGGCTTCATAAAATATATTTTAGGTCTTCTCACACTGTGACTTGAAAACACTGTATATCAATGAAGAGAGGAGAGAGCAAATTTGGGTACTTCTCACTCGTTAAGTTTTAGTTGTATTTTATAACTACGTTTGTTTTAATTTCTCTTAAAGTAACTCTACTATCATTGAAAGAAGGTCGCACTAAGAAGTAATGGACTAGGCCTTGGATCAAGGATGACTCAAGGTCATATTAGGGAACAATTTTAGAGAAAGTGTATTTCCAGACACATTTAAATCCATTACTGACCAGGAAAAGCTAAGTTTCTCCCAAAGCCTCTAGAGCTGGGGAAAGACGGCAAAGCACTCTACTTGGAAAATAATGCTTCAAGAGACATTGCCCAGAAAGAGACAAATACGCTGACAAGTTCAGATGCAGAGTATGTAGTCAACCCTTTATATAAAGGAGAGAAAAGGACAGGGAATTCAGTGGCAGCCCAGTGGTTAGGGCCCCATGCTTTCATTGCTAAGGGATGAGGGTGCAGATTCAATCCCTAGTCAGAGAACTAAGATCAGGCAAGCTGCCCAGCAGGACCAAAAACTAAAAAAGGAAAAAGGAAACCAAACTCATCTGGGACAGCACATGAGCTGTAATTGTTCAGTCCCTAAGTCAGGTCTGTCCCTAAGTTAGGTCTGACTCTGCAACCCCATGGACCGCAACATGCCAGGCTCCTCTGTCCTTCACTATCTCCCAGAGTTTGTGCAAATGCATGTCCATTGAGTCGATGATTCCATCCAACCATCTCATCCTGTCTCCCCACTTCTGCCTTCAATCTTTCCCAGCATCAGGCTCTTTTCCAATGAGTTCGCTCTTCCAATAAATATTACCTTGCTGACTTCCTGCATTTTAAACAATACACTCATGTTACTTTTCCCTTGATAAATTCAGTCAGCTCTGAGCAAATAAGTTGCTGAATTTTTTGAAGACTTAGAAATAAATGTCTACATTTTTCTTTGTTCTATTCCTGTCTCCATTCTTGTCAGACACTGGGTGTGATATTTTGAGCACCACCCAAGATCTGAAAATAAATTTTAAACGTAAACATAAGCTTATTATTAGAAAGGCTTATTTGTATACTGTAGACAAGATAGGAAACAAAACTAAGCAAAAATAAGGGTGGGAGGAAATTCCCTGGAGGTCCAGTGGGGCTCAGTGCTTCCACTGCAAGTGGTCCTGGGTTCCACCCCTGGAGGAGGAACTAAGATCCCTCAAGTCTCTGCACCAATGCGAAAAAAAGGTGTGTGTGGGAGGGACATCACTATTCCTGTACATACTTTGCAGAGGACACCCCCCCCCAAAAAAATCCCCTTTAAAAAGTAAAAACACAAGCTACGACTTGGATCTTCTAATAAAGTATCAATGGCTTTCCACATTAATTAATGCTTTCCACATTAATAAATAAGTCCACGTTTAGCGACTCCATGGACTGCAGCCTGCCAGGCTCCTCTGTCCCTGGGATTTCCCAGGCAAGAACACTGGAGTGGGCTGCCATTTCCTTCTCCAGGGATGGAACCCGTGTTTCCTGCACCGGCAAGCCATTCTTTACCACCGAGCCAACCCGGAAGCCCTACATTAATAGTCACACACAGAATTATTTTAAGTGGCTGCAGTGCATTTAGATGTACCACAAAGCAGCCCGTGGGCTCGCAGAGTCGGACAGGATGTAGCGACGGAACAACATAACTCACAGCCGACTTCCTGCTGCTGGGCATTTTATTTCGGCCTACTCTGCTACTACAAACAGGTGTGGGCGACCCAGACTTCACTGGAAGGACATAGGAACGTCTTTAACTCTTCCCTAGGAGTCCAGCAGAATCTGACGGTGCCCCTTTTCTCCACAACAGGAGACTATTTGGGAATTATTAGAAAAAAATAAAAAATCCCCTCGTGACGGGCAGAATGCGCTCTCCTAGCATTTCGTGCGCGTTCCAGCTTATCTTGGAGCGGCCGACGTGGCCGCAGGCCCCGAGCCGGGATCCGCCTCCAGGAAGGTCTGACCTCAGCCAAAGGGACGCGGGGGAAGGGCGCTCGGGCCGGCGGGCGCGCGCGCCCGGGCGTGCACGCACACGCGCGCCCTCGCGTTCGTGCGTGCGCGCCCTCGCGGACGTGCCTGTGCGCGTGCGCATCGCCCGTCGGTCGCCGGGAATCGCGGCTGCGCGGGCTGCACCAGGTGCAGGTAGTGGCCGCTCGCCCCTCTTTGGCTTTCGCGCTGCGGCGCCCCATCGGGTCGGGGGCGGGTGCGGAGAGCAGCGTGGAGGACCAGGGCCTGCTGTCTGTTCCTCTCTCCACGCTCTCCTCGGGTGTCTGAGGCGGTGCTGGGAGTTGGCCACCGTCCCTTGTCCCCGGCCTCCACTCGCCCTTGGCCTTCGCGGTCTCAGAAATCCTGATTCCCTGCTGAGGATCCAAAAAGTCCTCTCACCCCTACTTCGAACACTACGGCCCGAAATGTGTTTTACGCCGCTAACACCAGGAGCATTAAATGTAATACGGTCTTGGTCATCCTGCAAAAGGATGCTTTCCGCAGCCTGTATCAGGCCAGGAATGCCCGTGTTTTCCATAGTCAAGTTCTGTTTATGTGATTCGAATGAATCGTCGTTTCACTCCTTTGTCTTCCTATATCTTAGGGTAACTGGAGTCTGAAAAGGGCTGCGTCCAAACAGGTGGTTCGATGATAAGTATAAATTAAAATGATGTAACGTTATTTTCCCCTGCGTTCCCTTAACAGCTCACAACCCAGCGCCTGAAAACCACACCCTGGATGTTGTTTTTTAGACCTTTTAAGGTGTTTTAAACCACAGTGACTATACCTGCTGGGCGTGTTGTGGTCTGTTACAGGAAAGGTGCTGACTCTCTGAATCTCAACCATGCTGTCAGACGGCTTGCAAAGTTTCCTAAGGATTACCAAACGTCATCTGATACGTGCAGGATCATGCCAGCGATTAATAAATGAAAGGCGGTTCTTGGCAACCACGCCAGCACCCGGATTGCGTCGGCGAGTCGTCGTCACCGGCATCGGTTTAGTGACCCCTCTTGGAGTTGGAACTCAGCTGGTGTGGGACCGGCTTGTCCGGGGAGAGAGTGGAATAGTCTCCCTGATTGGCGAGGAGTACCAGAGCATTCCGTGCAGCGTTGCCGCTTATGTGCCAAGAGGTTGTGATGAAGGGCAGTTCAACGAGCAAAGCTTTGTGCCCAAGTCAGATACCAAGGCCATGTCGCCTCCCACGGTGATGGCCATCGCGGCCGCTGAGTTAGCCTTAAAAGATGCGGGCTGGCACCCTCAATCAGAAGCTGACCAGGCAGCTACAGGTGTCGCAATCGGCATGGGAATGGTTCCTCTGGAGGTGATTTCCGAAACCGCTTTGACGTTTCAGACCAAAGGTTACAGTAAAGTCAGCCCATTCTTCGTCCCTAAGATTCTGGTCAACATGGCAGCAGGCCAGGTCAGCATCCGCCATAAGCTCAAGGGCCCCAACCACGCGGTCTCCACGGCCTGCACCACCGGGGCTCACGCGGTGGGAGACTCGTTCAGGTTCGTAGCCCACGGAGATGCGGACGTGATGGTGGCCGGGGGGGCAGATTCTTGCATCAGCCCCCTGTCCCTTGCTGGGTTCGCCAGAGCCCGCGCTCTGAGCACAAACGCGGATCCGAAGTCCGCCTGTCGGCCGTTTCACCCCCAGAGGGACGGGTTTGTAATGGGAGAAGGCGCGGCCGTGCTGGTTCTGGAAGAACACGGGCATGCGCTCCGCAGAGGGGCCCGGGTCTACGCCGAGATCGTGGGCTACGGACTCTCCGGGGATGCTGGCCACATAACCGCCCCCGACCCTGGAGGAGAGGGTGCCTTCAGGTAAAGACTGCTCGTTTGTTCCCATTTCTTCAGATAAGACCGTTGGAGTCTCAACTTAGCGGAAATGGTCGTATCCGGCCTTGGTGCGCTGTCTCTGTTTTAGACTGAACAGTGTTTTCTTTGCCTTACCGTGTTTGAAATATTTGAAAACGTTTGCATATCCTTTTGAGTTTTGTTGAGTAGTTGCTGGTACTGGAAATGTCAAGCGTAGCAGCCAGCTAGATGAGAAGAAGGTCGTGTTTCGCTGAAACTCTTCATCACACTTCCGGTTATACTCTGAGCTACCTCTTAAGGAAATCGAGGCAGCCCGGAACTGAATAAGGAGGTGTTAACATCATGAGATTTTCAAAGGTTTTCCTAGAGAAATGTTTTATTTATTTATTTTTTTGAAATATTTTACTTTTAAATTTGTCTGTTTGGAGGTTTGGCTTTGTACTTCTTCATTCACTTAGAATTCTTATGGCCTGAATAAGAAGGTTTTGAAAGATATTTGAAGCATTAAAGTGATGGCACGGACATTTTTTTAGATTATTGGCAAATATGCAAACCTTTACATTTAATTGTGAAAGAAAAAATTAAAAGTTATAAATCTTTTCTCCTTATTTTAACTCTGTATTCATTCTCCACTGATAAGAAATTCCCCAAAGAAAAATTATTCTGGGGTTGAGTCTACCTTACTTTTTCCTCTAGGAAAAAAGGACAGTTCAAATAAAATGGAAATATGTTTTATTAGAGATTATAAAATCCATAGGTTTATATGTTTATGTCACGGTGATGAATCAGTCTGGGGTACTGGGGGTGCCTTGGTATTCCCATGCAGAGAGCATTCTAGTGCACGTGGTAATCCAAGATGCTGTTCTGTTTTGGGAACATAAAGGGTTCTTTTCATCCAGTGTACTTGGATATTTCTGTAGCCATTATCTGTAGTCATACGGACAATGAGTGCGTGTTCATTCAGTCATGTTTGACTCTTTGTGACCCCATGGACTGTAGCCCGCCAGGCTCCTCTGTCCATGGGGATTCTCCAGGCAAGAACACTGGAGTGGGTTGCCATTTCCTCCTCCAGGGGAATCTTCCCGACCCGGGGATTGAACCCGTGTCTCCTGCGTTGGCAGGTGGGTTCTCTACCTTTGAGCCACTGGAGAAGCCCACAGATAATGAGTACCTTGTTAAAATGAAATGTCGTTCTGATGAGTTCAGCTGCCTTTTTCTTATTTATTAGATGCATGGCCGCTGCTGTAAAAGATGCAGGCATCCAACCTGAGGAGGTAACCTACATCAACGCACATGCTACTTCCACGCCTCTGGGAGACGCTGCTGAAAACAAAGCCATCAAACAGCTTTTCAAAGACCACGCGCACGCCCTTGCTGTCTCCTCCACCAAGGGAGCCACGGGGCACCTCCTGGGGGCTGCCGGGGCAGCCGAGGCCGCCTTTACCGCCCTGGCTTGTTATCATCGGAAACTGCCGCCTACTCTAAACCTGGACTGCACAGAGCCGCAGTTTGATCTCAATTACGTGCCACTCAAGGCACAGGAATGGAAAGCTGAGAAAAGACGAATTGCACTGACCAATTCCTTTGGTTTCGGCGGTACTAATGCAACACTTTGTATTGCTGGCATGTAAGACAAATCACTTGTAATTAAATATTGATGTTTTTAACCATTATAAACTGCACTGAGAAATAATACATTTATATAAATGCATATTTTTATATAACAATACCCAGGCACTGTTTATTCTTGTCCGGGTTTCTCAGCCTTGGCACAGTGGATGTTTTGTGCAGGGTGCTTCTTTGTTGAGGAAAGAGGGCAATGTCCTGTACATCCTACGATACTTTACAGCGTCCGAGTTCCCGCCCACTAGATTCCAGTGCCCCCTCCTTCCCCAGCGGTGACGACCAAAAATGTCTCTCAGCGCTGCCACTGGTTTCCTGGGAGGCTGGGGGCACAGAAGTGAGATGGTAACGGGCTGTGTGTGTTACCTCCTGCTGACCTTTGCCGTAGCACTTTATCTCCTATGTGCCCAAGTCTCCAGCCATGTTCTTTCATTGACCCTCAGTCGTAATTCTCACTGGCACACAGTTCGCTCAGCTGAAGTTTATTAGGAGCCAGCTGTGGATGTGGTTTTATGTACTGGCCACCAAGGATGAAGTGGTTCCCTAAAAGCAGCTGAGGCCTTAAGGGTGAACAGGTCTCAGCCGGGATAGGGGGACATACGGAAGAACATTCCAGCCAGGAGGCATAGTTTGGAAAGACTAGGAAATTTAGAAAGAGCATCAGCACAGAATGTCAATACATGTAGCCTGAGAAGCAGGCAGGAGGGAAAGCCAGAAGGTCTGGTGGAAATCAGGTCACAAAGAACCTTAACTTTTANGCAGGAGGGAAAGCCAGAAGGTCTGGTGGAAATCAGGTCACAAAGAACCTTAACTTTTAAAAACAATTTTGTTCTTTCATACATCTTATGAATTATATATTATCATATATATTTTGTCCTTCTTTCATATATGTTATATGTATATATATTATTTATTTATTTATTTGGCTGCACTGGGTCTTCGTTACATGTGAGATCTTAGCTGCAGCATGTGGGATCTAGTTCCCTGAGCAGGGATTGAACCTGGGCCCCTTGCATTGGGAGCACAGTGTCTTAGCCACTGGACCACCAGGGAAGTCCCAGAACCTCATAAGTTTTATTAAGGCACTGAGAATAGTTGGAAGCCATTGCATGTTTGGGGTGTTACAATGGTTCTGTAACCTGTCAAGTTGGCCAGGCTGAACTATGGATGCATTTCCCAGAATTCGCTCTCCCATATGTTTGGTCAGGGTTGGCCCCAAGAGATTCTTGTAGGCGATTTGCAGGGTGTAGGGGAAGCAGCAATCACTTTGTCGCTCACATGGGTTGTGGCTTTGCTGGCTGACAAGCTTGAGCTGAGGTGGCGGCTGAGCCTGAAAATTGAGGCATAATTTATGTGCAGTAAATTGCACCCATTTCAAGTATACAGTCAAATAAGTTTGATAAAAATAGTTCCACTTGTGGAACTGCCACCTCAGTCAGAATATAGGGCGTTTCCAGGAATTCCCTGGTGGTCCAGTGGTTAGGACTCCACGCTTCAGCTGCACAGGGCGTGGGTTCCATCCCTGGTTGGCGAAATAGGATTCTGCAAGCCATGCAATGCAGCCAAAAACAATAAAAATAAATAAATAAATAAAGAGAATCCTGAGGATTTAAGATAAAAGAACATAGAGCATTTCCATCACTGCAAAAATCTCCCCGTGCCCCTTTGCAGTCAGTCCCCCTAGCTCCAGAAGAGCTGTCTGTCACTGTAGATAAGATCTGCCTTTTCTAGAATTTTCTATAAATGGAGTCCTATCGAATGAATGCTCCATGGTCCCTATGCTGCGCCCCTTGTACCAGGGGTCCACTCCCAGCTGGTTCAGGGGCAGCTCCTGCCGGCTCCTGCGGGCCTCCCTTTCTGCAGGAAAATTCAGAAGAGGACAGTCAGTGGGATCTGCAGCAGCCCCTGGCCCTGCGTCCGTTTCCAGGCGTGCCCTGGTCAGGAGCCACCCTCTGCCTAAGCCACTGTTCTTTCTAAATTCCCTTCGCCCTCAGCCCTTACGTTGGCAGGACTTGGCCGCTTGCCTGGTGACTCAAACCTTTACTCCTGGAAGCCAGCCCTTGGCAGTCCCACCACACACGCTTCTCAGACAGCAGTGGCTGTGGGGTCAGAGACCCCTGGCATCAGGAAGCCTGGGGGCACCAGGAGGCACCCAGGTGGACCGCCAGGATGGCGTCCACGTCCCCCCGTCCCACTGCGAAGAAGCACCGCCTGCCCTGGCTGGTCGGGGTCAAATCCCACGGCCAGTCTGCTGACTTTCTGGTCCCTGGGGCACCGGAGGCCAGAGTGTCCTGGCTCTAATAAGACACTGGCTGTGTGCCCTGGCCAGAGAGTGTGTCCCCTTTGGAGATCAGAGCTTTAACTCTGTGGAGCTCATGGTGGCAAGAATGGAAAGCATGAAGTTCCTCATTATGATTAGATCAGTGGGGCTGATGGTAAGTGGGTCACTCCTGTTCCCCATGCCCCTTTCTGTACCCAGGTGTTCTTACTGGGGACTTAGCCCCAAACAGTATTCCTCATAGCTCAGTTGATAAAGAATCTGCCTGCAATACAGGAGACCCAGGTTTGATTCCTGGGTCGGGAAGGTCCCCTGGAGAAGGAAACAGCGACACCCTCCAGTATTGTTGCCTAGAGAATCCCATGGACAGAGGAGCCTGGTGAACTCTTTCCATGGGATCTGGAAAGTCAGACTAAGTTAGCAACTAAAAGAGAGAGAGAGAAGTCTTTGATTTAAGCAGATGCTGCATCCTGAGGATGGGTGCCACATCCCTTCAGGAACTGCATCTAAGCTGGTGATTGAGGGTCCCTTTGGAAGGCAGTTCAGCCCTCTGGGAGGCCGGCTGCTTCTTCGTGGCAGGGCGTGTCTCACAACCCAGGGATCCCGTGTCCTAAGCCTCTGCCCACGGCCTGTCCTTGCTACGAAGCAGGTCCCCTGCTTAGTGTCGGAGGAGGTCATCAGGAGGATGCGAGTCCCAGAGATGACCAGATTTCCTTGCCAATTGTGCTATAATGAACTCTCATCAGATCGTCATCTGTGGCCATTTTAAAGTCCTTCTGTCATTTACAGACATTCGTCATGGTCTGATGCTTTTGCAGTGTTGCTGTAAGAAGAATCTTGAAGCGTTCCTTCAAGGTTTGTGGAAAAGTATAGCTTTCCAAAGGACTTCCCTGATAGCTCAGCTGGTAAAGAATCCACCTGCAATGCGGGAGACCTAGGTTCAAGCCCTGGGTTTGGAGGATCCCCTGGAGAAGGGAAAGGCTACCCATTCCAGTATTCTGGCCTGGAGAATTCCATGGACTGTATAGTCCATGGGGTCCTAAAGAGTAGGACCCCACTGAGTGACTTTCATTTCCACTTCACTTCATAGCTTTCCGATAACTGAGATCACACCACTAAACTGAATACAGATTCACAGAGTTCTGATGGAAAACTGCTGAGGATGACTATGATTTTTATGACTCTTTATTGGAAACATTGTTGGTTCTTTAATGTTTTCTCCAGATTTAAGAAAAGCATTTGTTTTTTAAACTATCAGCCATTTGCTGACTTACACCCTTGGGAACAAAGATGAAACATTTATCTTTTTCTCCCTACTTGATCTCTCCAGAGCTCAGAAGATCTTAGAACGAGTATTCTTATATTCGTGGCAACACAGTTATTTGCATACGTTCAGTAAGAATCTGTTCTTGTCACGGGGCTGAATGCAGCAGCTGGGGGCTGAAGCCAGCACTGAGCTGGGGGGTCCCTCCTGAGCCCTAGCCATTGCCCTTTGTCCTGACAGCTGGGCTGTTGTCAAGGGAGTAACCTGGTGGCTTGGACAATGGGGACCTGGAAGCAGATGTTCATGAATAACCCCTCGTGTGGTCAGGATGTATGGAGAGACGTGTGCATCCCCCTGCAAGAGCCTGGGGCACCTCACTTGTCTTCCATGTCCCCACTCAGGAGGCGCTGACGCCCCTGGCAGTTGGGAGGCTGATGCCCCAGGCTGGGTACCAGCCCTGCTTACTGGCCCTTCAGCAGAATCATCAGTAGGTAGGATGCACAGGAAGGGCATCTGCTGCAGCGCCAGGATGGGGTGGCATGTTGCCGGGACCCTACATTGCCCTTGAAATACACTGAGTTGGTTAATGCAGCATCAGCATGTCCTCTTCTAAACAGTGCCCATGGCAGCTGCCAGAGGAGTCCGGGGCCACCCCTGCCACCAGTGATGGGTTGGCAACCAGATTATTTCAACTAAGTGAGGGTTCTAAATATGCCTTGATTTTCGTGGACACTGCTTCTGGACTAACTCAAGCTTTCCCACCGCCGCGTGAACCAGGCCGCCACCCTCGGATGATCAGAGAAGCGGAGTGCCATGAACTGACTCCCTCATCAAACAGTGACCGGGGGACACGTGTCAAAGGCCGGGATGTGTGAGACTAGCAAAGGAGCATGGTGTTCAAAGGAGGTTCCCTCTGCCCTCAGAGCCGCAGGCAGCAGATTAAATCACTAACAGGTCCAACCACCTTGCCTGGGTGGACTAAGACGCTGTCCCAGACTTTATGCACTTCAGTAATCAACCGGCAGGGACTGTTGCCCCCTAGGCCAGCCTGGGGGCCCTGCTGAAAATCACAACCCCGTGAAGGATTGAAGTGTCAGCAGACAGCAGTGCCTTGATTCTCACTGTGGGTCAACGTGCTGTGCTGCTGGGAGCACCAAGCCCCCACGCCCGGGACAGGTGGCATGCTCGGGGATCTGCAGTGGGACGTCCCACCCAGGGAGGAGGGTTGCGTCCTGCTCTCGTGTCCAGGGGGAACCCTTGTGGTGCTGCCAGCTGGCTGTGGAAAAGCAGCGTTCTCCAAGTGAAATGTGTACCCACTGAGAGAGGGGTCCTGGTCAGGTGGACCCCACCCCAGTCCATCTCACCCCTGACTGGGCTGCCTCCTCCGGCCAGCATATGTGATGTGCTCAACCAGGTCAGGTCCTAAAGCTGCCCAACTCCCCCTCCTCGAGGATAGGCAGGCCTGTTCTTTTCATCCCTCCATTGGCCTGGATGCTATTTTAGCCCACATAGAAGCCCTTCCCCAGTTCACCCAGCAAGCCTTGAACAGTAGCTGG